CTATTCGTGTGTCTGTGCCAAGAAGCCTTAGCTGAGCTAAATCACAATAACAGCAACAATGTAGCCAGCACGACATCCCCTTACTATTATTATTATTCTGTACTTTGATACTCTGTCGTTCCTTTTATTTCACCTCATAAGCTCTATTAGACGTGGTTTCCATCGCTCTCAATTCCCAGTACTGATTTTCATTCTGATTTCTGGAGGATTTATCGAAGGATAAGGAAGAGAGATGAAGTTGATCAGTTACTAGGATATATAAAACCTTTTATCATCTTTTATCAGGAACGGTTTTTTTAATTAAAACCTCCCCTAACTGATACCATTCTATTACTTGTACCCACACAGTTGTCTTATATGAGTAACAATATATTAACATTCTGGCTAATTTAACGCGTTGCCTTGACACAGTGCACCAAACGCAGGAAAGGGAACTATATACAGTTTTTAAAAATTTATTTAGTCAAGATGAGCTGCATGTTCCTTGGCCTTGATTACCAAATTGCAGGGACTTTTGTATTTAAGACATTAATTTCAGAACACTAGAATTTCCTGGAAAATGTCAAATCCTTTTATGGCACAACAGATACTCTATAGACCTATAGAACTTTCAGCGACTTGATCCCAAGAGCGTCTTTGTGTTCGACAATGTTGCTGGACGTCAGTTCATCTTCCATCCTGCTCAGAGTCATGGTGACCCTGCAACTGATTCCAGGAAACACTCTGGGCTGGATGCCAGTCCATCGTGGGGCACAAGCATAGAGCCAAGGGTGGGATTCAAACCCATAACCCTGTGCATGTCAGGCCACAGAGGCACTCAAAGCACAACCAATTTCCGGGCTGGACAATTATTATTCTAAACAAATTTTCTGATGTACGCTACCAGTCAAAAGTTTTACACACACTGAGATTTTCTACATGTCATTGTTACTCATTTAGCATTTACTTGGGGCAGTGGTGGCTTAATGGTTATGGGAGTGCATTTGTAATTGAAAGATTACTAGTTCAAATCCCTTACCAGCAAGGTACTGCTCCCTGGGTGCTGAATTAGCTGCCCCCTGCTATGTCACGATGTGACATATGGGATGAATGCAGAGGACACATTTCGTTGTTGTGTGCTGTGGTGTGTCAACAATGATCACCTAATTCTAAATTAACTAAAAATACACTCAATATTCTTCGCTAACATATACTTTTGCAATATGTTCACCATTTCAGTACCTTTATTAGCAAGAAAATGTCATATCTTTGATTCACTGAATTAACCTCCTTTAGCAGTTATAACAGCAGAGAAAATTCCAGGCATTCTTTGTACAAGGGACATTAAATACTGCTCTGTTTCATGGGATGAAAGAGTTAAGTAGTGCATTTAAAGTTAAAAGTCAGCATAGAATGTGACCATGCCATCACCACACAAACAGTTAATAAGATGTCAGACATGCACTGTTACATACGCTTTCCATGTTATAAGGGCAACTTGTTTTATTTGACTAATATTTTCATTTATAGTTGATCAACTTTCCAATGCTTAACAAGTACAAAAATCTGCAGTTTATTAAATAAATGGAAAGGTGGTAAAAACCTGTGGTGTACAAACACTTTTGACTGGGAGTGTTGACTGGGAGTGTTGACTGGGAGTGTACTTAAAGGTATATTTTCACTGCTCTACTTCAGCAGCACTGCTTTTCTGGAGCGATGGCCCAATTCGGACTTCTGAATTTAATTCAGGTTTCTGACACGGAGAAAATGCCTTCATGTCCATGCGCACAGAGGCAGAAATGTCCTGTCGTCCCTGAGATTGTGTTTCCTACATATGTGTCAGGCAGATGGCCGTCCTTGTCCCTCAGAGTGACACGTTAACACTTCGGGCTTCAGCACGTCGGGGCCCGTGTGACAGCTCAGTGGGGAGGCCGCAGGAGGCCGGGGTGGGGGGGGGAGGAGGAGGTTGTGGGCAGGAGGTAGGAGGTACAATTTGAGGTGCGGGAGTTATATTGGGTGCATGCAGCATCTGTTCAGGTTTCCAGGAGACCCCCCATTAGGGTCCACATCGGAACGTGACGTCACCCGTCAAAAAAGCAACGCGCATAAGTCGGGGGCCCCTGGACTACGAACATTGCAGGGACACCGCAAATTAGAATAGATGGCGGCGTAACAACGGAATGGAAATGGTCACAAACTGTGAAATTAGAATATGCATGGTAGAGAAGAGAGAGAGCGAGAAAACGCGTCTCCACTGGGCATAACGAGTGAAGAGGAGGCAGTTGTCATGGTGATAAATGCACTGGAGGGAAGACGTGACAAATTGGGAGAGGTTTTCGATCCTTGACACAAACCAATACGGCTCTGTTTTGTCCCCAGGTGCAGGCGGAGTCTGAGCGCACGTGGGCCGCGTTGACCTTTAAAGGCCGGTCGATTCCGATCCCGGATCCCCATAATTGGGACAGGCGTGGTAAAGAGCAGGAAACAGGCACTTATAGGAAAATTACTGGACACCTACCAGAGGGAAAAAAAAATGTAGGTAAACACATTCAGAATGCAGATCCGAAAATATCCCGTAATCTTCAGCAAAGGCTACATTTAGCACCTGGCTGTTTTTTTTGGGGGGGGGGGTGAATGAGCAAGGTGCATGAGGAAATGAAGGCAGTCGACTGACCTGCTGGTAATGCAGAGGGGGAACAGCATGCGGATGCAGGAAGGGCAGCGGCTGGTGGCGGCTTGTCCCTCCTCCGGGACTGGTGGCATCTGCCGGGGTCACTCCTTGAACTTATTACCCGGAAGCTGAGCTCAGGCCCTCGTGGCAGTTTGTGGGCTCCTGCCGTCTGCTGGTTGCCGTGGCGCTGCGTAGTCGGGGGAACAAGCTCGCAATTAAGCAGGCCCCTTTAATTGCACGAACCCACCTACCTACCTATGTGATGATTTTCTGGATTCGGGAAAATTGCCCAAAATTCGACACAATATAATTATGGATTACTTGATTTAGAGTGCGTTTTTTCACCTTTTGTATTTTCGGCACTGATATTTTTTATCAGATTCCTGCGTGTGATGCTGGAGCCGCCCCCCCCCCTTGTCTTTTGTGTAAATGTGAAAGATTCGCTGTCAGAGCTGAACTACCTGGCTGCCATGACAGACACTGCACCGGACACGGCTGGAAGAAGGTCGTGCTACACGACAACGAAGGTGTTTGGGGATAATAATGTGTGGCAAAAGTCACTTGCATTCCTGAAAAACACGCATTTGCTGTGGCGGAAACATGGACAACTGGCTTGTACATCGACATAACAAGGACACCTAAATACCTTTATTTATTCATAAAGCAGGCACTGACCCAGCAATACAAGCTGGACTATTTAGGTTAACCATGTGGATTAAAGAGCGTGCAGGCAGGCAGGGTGACACTTACATGTTTTCTATAGAAATATAATGCTTTTCCACTGGCAAGATGAATCCATCGTGACTTAATTTCCTGAAAATGTCAGTTGATTGACTTGTGGGTGTTTTAACTATGAAACGTAACACTATGTACATTTCAGTCACATTTTACTTGAGGGGGCACAAATAATGTAGTAGTACATGAGTACTTAATACATTAATTAGCCAATAGCTAAGTGTTAATTACGTATTGACCCCATGATTGGTCATCATTAATCCATCATGATGGTTCATGTGTTCCATCCAGGAACTATTTTAAACAAATATAGTTCCTGCATGAAATACATGAAGTCACGATTAATTAATGATTAACTAATACTTAGTTACTGGTTAACTAATCCATTAAGTAAGTTAATTACTAGTTAATTAATGCATTAAGTACCACTATATTATTTGTATTCCCTGAAGTAGAGATTTTGATCATCCATAAATTTTCAAAACCACTTGTCCATTAAAGGGCCACTCATGGGCAGAACAAAAAACGACTGGTTCAGAGAGATAACCAAACAGATTGTAGATGAGGTGGGTCTAAGCACCTCTTCTATAATCTGACTGGTTATCTCTCTGAACCAGTCATTTTTTGTTCTGCCTTCAACGTTTTTGTGTAAGTAAAACTCCCATGAGCAAAATCCGTCATTGTGATCAGTAAACATTATGCCTGATGTTTAGTTGGTCTTTTGAAGTGTGGAAGAGTCATAGATGTGAATAAGAATGCAGGACCTCTAAGTTGAAGCCCTCGCTATGGTATATTTACAGGACTGTCTCTGGCCAAACCTGCATGGTACCTGCTTGGCATGATGCTTGTCTGATCACCGCAAGCTGTAAATGTTTGCTAACTAGCCTACTTCAGGTTTTCCCTGCCACACAACAAACAGATCAGCTAAATCATGCTCCTCATAACAATCTTTATGTGCCCTCTGGATAGTGTCTCGTCGGGGATAGGAAGAAATTTTGGATAAAGTGATTATGGGTGTAACATGCAGGTATCTCTAAGGGTGACGAGCAATGTTGCTGACCGATGTTACTCAGACACTTTCCCATTGATACTGGGCAACGAGTTTATATTTGAAAAACTCTGATTGGCAGTGGGCAACTTTTCGCAATCATCCAGATGCAGATGAGTTGCCCTTCGTCTCACCTGGTTGGCAGTTGCCTGGCAAAATTGCTCAAAAATTTGCCCGGTGCATCATCACCTTAACTTTTCTTTGTAATGAGTGGAAAAAATTATAACTGCTATGAATATTATGGCATATTATGTGAGATATTATTATTATTATGGGCTGCCGAGGTAAGAAACGGATCTACGGAGATCTGTGGCCTGTACTACGAAGCGGGGTTACTGGCTTATTGGGTTAACTTGTCGGATTTAAGGTACCACAGTTTAAATGGACTTCATATTCGTTAACTTACATACAGACTACCTTAAATCCGACAAGTTACCCCGATAAGCCAGTAACCCCGCTTCGTAGTACAAGCCACTGATCTGTGTTACAGAGAAACAGATCACACCGTTGCCAAGGTTACGCCACACGAGATACCGAGGCGGGAAATAAATGGAAACACAGAAGGCCTGATAAGAACATTTCTTGTTATTCCGATAAAAAATACATTCATACAGAAATATAACAATCTTGCAAAAAAATTCCAAATAATAGTCCGTCAAGCAAAAAAAAATTACAAACTGTTTTTTTACAAACACAATTTTGATTTAGATCATCGGGTATTTAGGAAAATCAGTAATGGAGTGTTTTGTCAGAACGGACGTGAACAAACCTGTGGCTTCATTAAGGCTAGTTTTTCCAAGTTTTTTTTTTTTTCTCAGTTCAAATCTAGGTGACTTCACCTTTAAACCACACCTCCCCTTGAAGGAATGATCTGAAATTCAATTTCTTAAATGCTGCACCACACTTAAGCCGAATCAGCTGGCAATATCAAATTAAGCTTACAGCTCCGTTTTTTTTTCTCTCCTCAAAGACCAATTAGATTTAAACGTTCAGCCTCGATATAATTTAATGAGACTTTAGAGACTTTACTTTCACTCAGCAAAATAATCCTTAATAAACAATATCCACGGTCACAATCCACTATCCACACAGACATGTTATTTATAATTCTTTTTTTTTTTTTTTTTTTTTTACATCAAACCATTTCAGTTTTATTTCCAGAATTTTAAATTAAAAACTCCCAAAACCTAAACCTTTAATCTTTCGAAAAATCCCACTGGCTGTGCCGCATTAAACACGTCAGACAGGCCGGAGACGGACCCATGCGGAAGCGGCATTTCCCCGACGCGTCAGCAGCGAGCTCGCCGTAATTGCTCGTCAGCAAGATGCCCGTGCCTCAGAATAGACTCTGCATTCACACACAGACACTGTGCGAATGAGTTTCTTTATACATATAGTACATACTACACAGTAGTAACTCCAATAACACCAAACTGTTCAAAGTGCTCTATTTAACCATTCTCTGGTTTCAAGACTACTTTTTGGATGAACGTTGACCCTCAAATGCTATTTTTTCCCCCATGTAATATAACCCCCCCCCCCCAAAAAAAAATGGCATTGCACGGCACAGCCAACTGAACCATTGTTTGGAATAGCTTCTGTACACAATCCTTTGGCCCTCACGCTAGAAAGAGACACACGACACAGCCTGAAATCACCTTCTCGACTCCCGAAACAGCCATCTCTGTCATACTCTATGGGACAAGGCCGCATTGGATAAGGCACCATTAGGGTTAACAGTGCATTATCAGGTTAAAAAATAAGGGGGGGGGATGGGGGGGGGGACAAGGCATAAAAAGGGGAAATATGTCTCATGAGTAAATCAGTTGCTAAGCAATAGTGGTTTTTTCCAACCCAATAAAACCATCCACAAGAGTGACAACAACGAGAATAATTACAAAAAAAAAAAAAAAAATCAAGGTTTTATGTACAACATTGTAACATTCTAACCAATTGAATTTTAGCTGCTCTTTTATTGGAATTTGCAGTCCTGATTACAAACGGGAGGAGAACCATGCAACACCTGTCTATTATAACAACGTTACAGTTGTGTTATATCTCTAAGTACACAGCTTATGTGTCAGACTACAAATGAGCTTTGTAGCATGTCAGCCAGGCTACCGAACAGAGAGCGTGTTTAGTAGCTAGACCAAGCCCCACGGTGTCCCTCTGATCAGGGATAAGCTGGTTGCCCAGCCCTGGTTGCCCAGCCCTGGTTCGAGGGCTGTAGGTCCCCCCCTCAGGTTGCTGCGAGTCCCATCCAGGTGGCGTCTGTCACACCGTGCTCATAGACTATCGGCATGTCCGCCGCAGTGGTGGCCGACCCCGGAGCACGAGCCGAAGTTCCTTCGCTTTGTCAGTCCGGCGAAGCACCAGCACACTCGCTCAACAAGACGGTGTAGGAGCCGCCGTGCACGTCCCACAATTCCCCCGGGGGCGTCGCACATACAGATTTCTTCTGTCCATTCGTTCGTCCACGCTTCCCCTGCGCTCTCATTTGTCACCGTTGGGACAAACTTCAGAGTACCTTCCCCTACAAGGTCCTGGCAATGGTGCAAAATGGCATGCTTTGGCTAGAACACCATCCTGTCCACTAGGGGGCGTTTGACCTTGAGGCAGGTCTGGAGCAGGTCTAGTCAGCCCCCATTCCTCCCAGCGGCCTGAATCACAGGTGCCTCTTCATGTGAAGTGCCAAGTGATCAGATCTGGAGAAACACCTGGAAACAGACAAGATAGGTGGGAAGTGAGTCCCAGAAAGAGGTCATGTCACAACGAAAGTGTACGAAAGCAGTACGTCACGGGTTTAAGTCCCAAGACGAATCAAAAACAGGAAACAGCTGGCAGCGGGAAAAGTTGAAACAAGGTCACATGACCCAAACCTACCTGTCACAATGGCAGCATTTGAACGGCTTGGCGCCCGTGTGCTTCCGGAAGTGCCGCGTGAGCTCATCACTCCGCGCGAACCGCCACTGGCAACCTTCCCACGAACACCTGTATGGCTTCTCACCTGGGGGGGGGAGGTGACAAACAAACCATTGATCAGGCAAGGAGACATCTTGACGCCACACCGCCCTCCCCCGTGACGTCGCGCGCCGCATCGCCGGCATTCCTCGCGGGTGTCGCAACGCGCCGCTATCGCCGGGAAATCGATGCGCATCTCAGGCATCCGTCCGCGTGGGTGAAATGGCAACCAGCACTTGTCCGGGGCTCAAATTCCTTTGACCCAGATTATGGCGGCCATGGGAACTATTTAAGGAATGCAGAGAGGCTGAGGAATGGAATGCGAGTGTGGCAAACCGACACCTTCAAAATAACCATATTAACGAAAAAAACAATGACAAAAAACAAAACAAATAAACAAGACTCTACTGGGGCAGACTATGCCTTAGAAAGCGGTCTGGGACACCCTCTTTGCTTTGGGTGAAGCAAGCAACCCCCCCCCAGGCATAAAGTCACATTCCGGGGAGATTACACCACTGGCTGACTTTTCCGGCCCATGGGGGAATCGCTGTGTGGTTGCGACACGCGCGGATGCCAGCGTTGCCCGGTCAGCCCCCCCCCCCCCCCCAACTCCAGTGCTGCTGGCTAAGCATCTATGCTCTAGGCCAGAAGCTGCCTGGAATCAGACTCAGCTGTAGGGCAGCGCCGGCCAGACCGCCGCTGAGATGATGCAGTGTGGGCTCGCCAAGCCGCTACGGCAGATCTTTTTTTAACCAGATCGATCGACGGGCCGGCGGGCGGACGCACTTTCACGCAGAGGCCCTTGTTACACACCTGTGTGTGTGCGCTGGTGTGCTTTCAGGTGCGAGCTCTTGGTGTACACCTTCCGGCACCCGTTGAAGTGACACCGGTGTGCGCGCTTCCTCCCGTCTGCCGCTGTCTCGCTGTCTGCGAGGCCACGGCCGGCCACCCCCGCACGACCCTTTCCCGGGGAGTGCAGCTCCGCCGGGAGGCTGCTCCAGGCGCGTGGGCCGGCGGGGTCCTTGGTCTCCTCCGGGGATGGAGGCGGGCTGGCCAGGTGCTCCGTGCCGGCCAGAATGTCACTCAGAGGATTAGGCGCGTAGCTGAGAGTTGGCGAGAGCTCCTCAGAGCTGTCCGACGCCTCGCTGCTGGCATCCGAGTTGAAGCCACCGGTCTCCAGGGCTATGCTGTCCTGACACTCCTCCTCCTTTTTCACAGGGACCTTCGGATCGGATCCCCCCTTGTCCCCGCAAGCGAGAATGAACTTGCTCCAGAGGTCTTCCTGGCCTTCAAACTTGATGTCTGCTGCAGACACGTAGGGCTCGCTCTGCAGATACCGTTCTAGCTCCAAACGGGTCTGAAGAGAAGGAAGGGAAAAAAAACGAACCAAACACCCATCAAGCCTAAATATATCGTCAGATTAAAGTAATCACTTCCAAAAATCAGCACCTGCCGTATTTCCCATTAGGGGAAATGTCATTGACAAAAGCAGAACATCAGCAGAAGCATCGCAAACCGCTCGCGTTGGAGAGCTTTCCCCCCCGACATGGCTGCCCTGCCCACTGATCCTATTTACATATATACGCTCCTAAAGAAGCACTGGGAAGCGTCTGCACGTTAGATACGTCCATTATTCCCCGAGACTTAAGACAAATATAGGAAGGGATCAGGCTAGATCTCATTAAAAGAGCTCGAAAGCATTTTTTATACAGTGAGTCATAAACTTATTTTCTTTAAAAGGAAGTAAGCGAACTTCCTCTTAACTGCAAGCTGCCCCGTCCACCGTTTGTTGCTACACATCACCATTCCCTCATGTATGGTTATTTTTTATCTCCTGCCAGGGTTTTCTGAAACTCCATGTCACCCACCAACAAAACACTAAAACTGCACTGTTGTGCGTAAGGGCTGGTCACTTCGATTATTTTATTTTGCAACCCATTCGCATTACTTTTCCCGACAAACACGTCCTCCACGGACAGGCGCTCAGCAGTAATGGCCGCGTCCCGTGTTTATTCGCGATTACAGCGCATGTATCTGAGACGGAGTCTGAATCTGTCACAAGGTACAAACTTGGTCTTTTGCCAGAACTCCAGCGACCTGGAGAAAAATGCATCCATTTCAATTACGCACTGAATGCCAAAAAATAAAAAACGAGCAAACATCGTTAGGTGGTATGCAGCGCTGACGGGCAACAGCAGGATTTTAGCAGCAAACTATCCAAAAGCAGGCGGGTTTGTTTAGAAATCAGGCAAAATGACTGCCTTTCTTACGGCCGCCCTCACACACAAACACGCACATGCACTTTGACGTTTGGGGCGAAACGCATTTTATTATAAGTATTTATACATTTTCGCCCATTGCAGCAATGTAAGCGCGCCGTTCTCGTGGAAGCGGCTTGATGTCACATCAAAAGTTTAAACATAGTTGCGTCATGACTTTTCAGGTATCACGCTTACGACACACGCACACACATATAATAGTCGCCAGTATTAAGGTGATATGTCGATCGCAATAATTGTGACTTGCAATTCCCATATGATCAGAAAAAAATTTGAAACTTTTGCTTGCACGTTGAAACACATACTGAATCTCGGGGAAATATTAAAAAAATACATAAAATACGGGAAGCCCTAAAATTCCATCCGATAATTAACTATTGTGAGATTAATTATTGCGACGTGACAAATAAAACGATAGCCTAAATGTACGAGTTGTAAAGCCGTTAATATTTGTCGGGAAAATCCGCGGACTGGCAAGTGACAGCGGCGATTCGAATGTGCGAGAGGGAGCGGGGGGGCGGGGACGAGCTGTTCGTACAGTTAAGCAACACAAAAACAGCCACCACGCAAACGATCCGCCTGAAACAGCTGGCAGACTGGCCCGGAATCGGCGCTGCCTCACATATTTGCGAAGTTGCATTTTATTTAAATTGTAAAGGAATTACCTGCTGCCAGTACTCTTCAAGGGAAGGCAAAGCAGAAAAGTACCCAGTGTCATGAACGATCTGAAGCTCCTGAAAGATGCTGCACATTGGAATAACATCCATTTTTTTAGATCCCAGACACAGCTGTAACTAATTAAGCGAGGGAAAAAAACACAACGCGTAGGACGTAATTCCGGCACTGAGACCGATCTCGGCGAACTTGTGCATGCAGCTGCATAGGAGTTTAAGCGACGTCGTTCTGTTCGTCTCCAGCGGTGCCGCAAACTCCTACGAGGACCGCAGCTCGGCCGGTCTGCAAACAGCACACTGACTGCTCGTCTCACGCACTGTAAACTTCCCTATTCAAACCTCGGACCGGCCTCCGCTCCTGACAACTACGCGTCCGGGGAAGCCGACCAATCAGCTCCAACGGTGTCGCTGGCCCGCCCACAAAATAACGCAGAACCAATCGTGGGCGACTTCAGACTCTACGAGTGTGGCGATTGGTGAGTTTGAGTTAAAGCTATGCCGTTCCGATTGGGTGGCTGTTTTTTCTATTTTTAGCAGAGTATATAAATGCCGCGCCTGCCGCTTTGCTCTTGAAGAGCGTCCATAGACTGGTTGCTCCTTGCGGTCGGGGTTTTGCGAAGTGCAGGGCTTCGCTGCGGTTTAAGTGTTATTTGGAAGCAATATTAAAACAAACACTGTGGCTCTCTTATTTTCGTATAAGGCAGTATTATATATAAAAAAAAACATTCCGTGAAAAGGCGTGTGTGTGCCATTCTTTAAAAGCGCTTGTCCCCTTTGGTGTCAGGTTATATGCTGATCGAGAGGACTTTCGTCAGTTTAAAGAAATTGTGTCACTTTGTTTCGTGTATGCAAGGTTGAAAGTATTTAATGATGACAGCTCCAAAATTTATAGCGTGGCGGACTGTAGCGGGTTTCAAGGGCAGCCGATCGCCGGACCGTTTGGTACGCAAACCAGTCGTGCTGGTCCCCGGTTTACAGGCATCAGCAGACAAGCGAGACGTGTTATTAGCAATCAATGGCTGTGTGTATAAAAGCACGTCGGCAAATTGGTCTATCCCAATGACAAACGTTCAAATGACTACTTTAAATCAACGCATTAATTATTGATCACATATATATATAAAATGTGTGCCTGTGTGTGTGTGTGTGTGTGTGTGTGTGTGTGTGTGTCCCAAATGTATTGCTTTTACTGACCTTTCACGTTTTACGGGGTTTAAATACAATATCTCCTAATGTCATTTGAGGACGAAATTAAAATTATTTATATGCACCAGGTCAGTTTGCCGGTAACTGGCTAATGATTGTACTGTTGATTGCCCCCAACATTGCAATTGAAGGACTTGACCCGTTCCCAGAAATCTAATTCCCAGGAGGCGTATTGTATCTAAACGCAGCTTTTTTTGCAGGGTACATAACCTGAATTCGGTGGACAATGGCCAGAGATATAAATGGGTGAAGTTTGAAGTTATTGGAATTACTTTGGAATGAAGTATCTGCTGAGCAATGTAATATTCATTTTCCGGTTCAGAGTTCAATTACAGCCATTAGTCTAAGACAAATGCTGGGCGCAGAAAAACAGTATTTATCCATTTGAACTGGACGTGATTTTTAAATTATTTTAATGATTGATGGTTATTTTGTTTTGCGGAAGCTGGGGGGATGAGTGTTAGAGAAGTGCTCCGTAGTAGATTGAAACTGCCTCGGATGGTTAATATTAGTGATTTGTTATGGAAGCTGCGTGTGCTCGACCTTATTTACATTGGAGGAATAAATGAAGAAGAGGATTTTAGGTTTTATCATCAAACCCAGTACAGGTACCAAGGTGCTGACTCTGAATGGGCTAAAAATACTGTATATCAGAAAAAAGAAACGATGCCAAATTGCAGACTGCAAATTGCAAATTGTACTCACGTAGCTTACAGGCTAATACCGCTGCATTTAGTGAGTCTTCAGAGTATGATCAGTACAGTGGACCATTTAATCCTGTGCAGAAATGTGAAGTGTTGGAGGACTGACAGCTTAGTATCTGGTTTTGCTTTGAATCGTGACTGTAATATAGGTGGTATAGTGACTGTGGTTACCCTTCAGTGGAGATGACAGAGGAGCAGGTTGCATGCAGACGGTGGTGCACCGTGCAGAACAGAACGCCTTTTCTGAAGTGGTGCCACTCTGAGTTTCACAACGCTAAGAAAGGGTGCAGGCTGCAATGCTACCCCCCCCCTAGGAAATGCAGGCGCATTGTATGCACAGCTGATGCGTGTTGCAATCTTTTATCTCGCTAAATCATCCTCAGTATCACTTGTACTTCACATGTTTGCTTACCTCTTTTTCTTAATACAATCTGCTCTGCTCCTTAAAGCAAATCTATACTTTTATTTGTCATTTTCACCAGTAGAGGCACATAGGAATTCTTTAGTTTTCACATATTTCATCTTGCTTTCCTTGAGATGTACAGTACAGGTGAGACCAAAGCTTAGGGGCAGAGTCCAGGCTCAGACATTAATATAGCACCTCTAGAGTGTCTTATTTAAAGGCCCTGCAGTGATGTGAGGACTCTGCCCAACAGGGAATTTGACTCACAGGCTTTCTGATCACAGGCAGAGAGGTCCGAACCACAGAGCCACAAACCTTAAGGCCTTCCAATGACCATAGAATGTACAGGCACAGGATGTCAGGACCCCTTGGGTACGAACGTTTGGTTATTCTAACTTTATTTTTAGAAAACTGTTGCACCATTTGTCACAGGGTTGTCATGGAAGAAAGAGGACCTTCACACTACTTTCTCATTTTCAGTTTTTCCTGACACTGCAGTATGATTAGTTTAAAAGATAACCCCCCCACCTAGCGCTCACGTATTAAACGTGTGATGTACATCGATTAACTTTTTAAGCTTTAAATGTGCATGGAGGGATTATTTAAAGGAAAAGCGAAAACTTGTCAGATCAGTTACATGTGCTGCTTTTGCAGAGGAAACGATTCAGTATTAAAATGCGATTCTCCTCTTGGACTTGCAAGTAAAATTTTGTAATCGATTGTGTAAACTCCACATCTTTTTCAGATGTTACATCTGTGATCGCTGTGACAGGTTGGGATGGACGGTGCTGGTTTCTAAGCATTTGCGATGGTTTTGATGCCCGCGAAGACGTCAAATGCATTCAGAAATTCAAGAAAGGCGATATCTTGTTTGGAACAGCGCTCCTTTTGTGTAGCGCAGTCCTTGGGAGCACTGAGTCTCCATTGTAGCGCTCTGTGTTGGCAATCTTGTGAGTCGGGCAGCCTGGTATTGTCGCGTGTCATGCTTGTGGAGCGACAAATTTGGCCTTGGAAGCAGCGGAATGTAAAGCCAGGCTCATGAACATCGTTAATTATTTTGGAGCGAAACCAGACAGACAGGAGGCTGCCTGTTTTCTATGGCTTGGTCAATCAAACGAAAGTCGCCTGTAGGAGAGTGTACACAATCGTGTGTCTTAGATTTATGGTAATTTTATGATATGACCACAGTGTTTTATCTATGTCTGTTACTGCTTTATCACAGTTTCCCTTTCTCTGGAAGTCTCTTTCTGATGTCATTATTATCCTCCCACTGCCTATCCAGTAGAGGGTCATGAGGGAGCCTGTAGCCTGTTCCAGACCGGTCAGGGCACGAGGCAGGGGACACTCGATCTGCAGGGGATGCCAGTCCATTGCAGAGCAACCATGCACTACAGGAAATGTTGAGACACTGGTTCATCTGCTCATTTTTGAATGGCTGGAGGGTATCCTTGTGAACGTGCAGAACGTGCAATCACACACAGGGCCAACCAATCAGATGTCTTGGTCCCACCTCATCTACTATCTGATTGGTTATCTCTTTGAACTAATCATTTTGCGTTCTGCCGCCCAAACATTTCTGTGTAAGTAAAACTCACACAAGCAGGTTCATCAGAGCTACACCATTGTAAACCAAAGGCTTCTAGAATAACAGCCGGCTGATCCAGACCGAAACAATATCAGGCCAAGTATTGACTAGGCTCTGTTGTATTACCAAGGGTATTTTTAAGGTTACACAGTGTCAGTATTTTTGACTTATGTATATTTCTCCGAGACCACGTGTCGTGCAGTTCGTGTAACAAGTCACGGTCCATCCTCTGGTATGCTTAGTAACTCTCTTATCGTAACACAGGAGCTGCGGGCTAGCTTGGATTACGCAGTCAGCTAAGCAAAGTGACTCGCAAGAATGAAGTTTCTCCTGTGTAGGATGTAGGATGGCGAGTGTCACAGATCAGGCTGATACTCAGGTGAAGGACAAACCGAATACTTTGAGGTGCTTTGTAAATCAGCTAAAGCTGCTGATTGTGCTCGCGTCACTAAATAAGTAACAAGCGTGATTCTCCTCACTCGCTGTGTTTCCCTTCCTCTGCGGCACAATCAATCAATCAAACAATCAATCAGTCAATCAATCAAAGTTTTATTTGTCCCAAACACAATTATACTCGGTACAATGTGCAGTGAAACGCATGGTTGCCGAGCTCCAAGACTGTGAAACGGGACTTAATTATAAAAAGACTAAAGTTTAAAGAGACCAGACATTAAAATTTATAAAAAGACTAAAGTTTAAAGAGACCAGACATTAAAATTTAAGCAATAAATATTAAATGTGCCCTGGGTTGTTCCCTGCCTTTCCCCCTAGCCTCCAAGGTAGACTCCAGACTCCACGCAACCTTGAATAGGACTGGTGGTTACAGAAAATGGACAGATGGATGGATGGAATCCATATTGTATATTTGGCAATGAAGTACAGATAGTGTAAAGAATAAGTAAGTATTTGCACACATAAGCCGTACATGTAAAGGTTGAGTAGACTGTTAAAGCATTAGTACCGCCCAGCGCTTGTTTCTCACAAACCGTCTCCCATCCAAGTACTAAGCAGGACCAAACCTACTTAGCTTCCAAGATCAGGCATATCCAGGTCACTATGGCCCCTTGTTGTCCACGCACCTTAGAATGCTGACAACTCTGTGCCGAACTGTGACAGAGACAGCGGAGAAAAGGTTAGTGGATTTTCAGCTTTCGGATTCGAATCTCCATCCCAGCCCTATCTACAGTAACAGGGCTTTGGGCTGCAGTTTCTCTTGCAGCCCAAGGTCTGGCCAAGAGGCCTCCCAGAGCAGAGGGCATGGAGCTCTTCTGGGGCATCACTCTTGAAACATGATACTTGAATAGAATATGGATTCACCAAGCATGTGATATGCTCCCGGTGGTGTCCTCATCATTGAATCTTATTATATTAATGCATTTTACATTCACATTTCTTTTGTGGAAGGTTTGAAGGCTGGAATGAAACAGTACCCCCAGGAATCTGACACAAAGACGT